AAAAAAAAAAAAGGAAAAAAAAAAAATAAGACCCTGATGTTTTCTGAAGTTTGCCATGCAGTTCAAGTTTCCCCCTGCCCAAGGGGAAGAGAGGAAAGGGGAAGGAGAATTGCCAAATAGTGCTGGTATCGGGGTTGAGCAACTGAGTTTTGTTGTAAGCCTGGATGTTTAAACTGCCACACACACAGGTAGGGATGCCTTTTACCTCCTGACCTCGTGCACTGAGATTGGCTAATCCTCCCTGTGAACCACCTCAAACCCGGCCCACGGTAAATGGGTCACCGTGTACCATCAAAGGACATCTGTAGGCTCAGGCGCGGTTCTCCTGGGAAACCCCAAAGCGGCCGGAGGCATTTTGGTGTGACTGAGAGCACAGTGCGTGCTTGTGAGAAAGCAGGGCCTGTAGCTCAAGCATACAATGTCAACATTTGTGGCTCTGTGAATCTGAAAGAATCTTAATTATATGATGACCCTATCCAGCTCACTGACCTAGGACAAAACAGGAGCAGGTGCTTTTTAAATGCGTTGAATTCATCCCACTGGAGCCCTGTAGTATATGGTGGATTTCCAAGGCCCCAGGCTCAGTGAAAGAGTCCCCTGACTGACCTTGCGTCCCTTCACCAAGGACTGAAGCCAGGGGCCCTGACAGAAAGACCTCACAATGCTCCCGCACACCCTGTCCACCCTGATTTTGAAAACTGGCCATCAGGCCAGACGCCATTTTGTTGACGTGAACTCACGGGGGTGATAATACGGCTGAGGCCCTCTGAAGTCACGCCGCTCTCCTCACATCACCAGCAGTGTGGTGACCTCAGCTGTTCGTGACACTCTCCGCTGTCTACAGTTGAGAGTTTTCATGGTTTAGTTGTTTTATAGATTTGAATCTGGGGAACTTGTGTGGTAATGGCATGTGACAACTACTGACCTTGGTAAAGTCAGGCTACCTGAAGCATAAAATTGTGATTCTATAAATCCATTCAGGAGGGACCCAGTCCTAGTTTGGAGTTTTAACAGACACTCACCTTGGCTATTTGATGTGCAGTGTGGCCCCCAGCACCCAGGTACACCATGGCCATGGTGGACGAGATGCTCCACGGAGAGAAGAAGAGATTTGGGGTGGCACTAGTATTTGCCAGATGCTTG